CCGTTGAGCAGTTGCAGCAAGCGGAACTGCCTGACAAGCTCCACATCAAGCAGCTTGGTGTTATTGACTGGCGCAGTCGGCACACAGCTGATCTGGAGAGGGTGCACGGTGATATTGGGGCGCCCATGCGTCTTGCACTCCCATACCGGCAACGTGAGCCTGCCCACCACGCCGAGCGGCCCATAAAACACAGCTGCCTGGCTGCCCGTCTTGTGCAACTCACAGCAGCTGCCATTTTCTGCTGCTAAGTGGCAAGGAAGCGGCTCCATGCTGGCCAGCTGGGCTTGCCGCTGCTGGAGCTGCTGCTGGCGCTCCTGCCGCTGCTGCGCCGCCCGGCCCGGCAGAGAGGCCAAGAAGGCATCCACGTCCGCTCCGAGCCGAGCCTCCCAGTGATCACGTTTGCGTCCTTGCCGGTCGCCCCAGCCTAAGAAGCCGCTGGGTGCTCGCTCATCCTCGTTGTCATCCCTCTCACCCCGCCGCCTGGCCTGCCCTGGCACATTGAAGGGAGCTTGTTGTCCTGGTCTACTTGCACGGGATCTTTTTGGCTGTGGCCCGTCTAGAGGCCTGGGGGCCGTGGTCTTGCTAACCACCTTCACCCTAAAGTGGTGGCTCATGTCCTAGAAAGCATATTACGGTTGCTGGGATGCCAACAGAACAAACGGGAGGGAGAATGATGCATGATTGAGGATGATGTCCCCAATGACCCTCCAGGTGGGGGGCCATCATGCCCATCATGGGGCACATCCTTACCGGGAGGCCTACCTGCGTAGGCCTCCGCGCCCCTTTCCAGCGGCCCCAAACATCAAAACCTGAAGCGTTTGCGCTGCCCAGCCAATCCTGCCTTGTCCATTGCCCCCATCAACTACTCCCGGCACCCCTCCGACACCCCTGACGCACGCACCATGTCTCAGGCCGACAGCATCGCGCTGCTGGCTCAGCGCCTGCAGGCGCTCACGGAGGATGGCATCAAGATCAACCCCGCCACCGCCAACCCGGGTGAGCCCCGCCTGCAGCCCGCCGGTCAGGGTGCCATCGCTGTCGGGTGGCCCGTCCAGCCCGGCACCGCCCACCCGGCCCGTGCAGCGTGTTTGTGCGGCAAATGTGCTTGATTTAGACGGCTGCTGGCAGCCGTGGGTGCCCCACAGCCGCTGGCGGGCCATGCATGACTAAGGTTCACGCTATGAGTAGCTCAGGATAGTCTGCGCTGCTCCTGGCCGCCGCCCCGCTCCTAATGCCTGCATTTCACGAGCGGTTCAAGTGCGCGTCGACCGCTGGCCTTGGGTTGGCCTCAGCCTGCCGCCGCCACCCGCTACCCACCGCCCCCCGCTCCTCCCGACCCCTGCTGCAGCCCCGCTGGGCCTGTACGGCTTTGCCCTCACCACCGCCCTGCTCCAGGGCCAGAAGTCGGGCCTGACCGAGCCCAACACCGGCCAGCTGGCCATGGGCTTTGGCTTCTTCTTCGGCGGCCTGGCCCAGTTCTGCGCGGGCCTGCTCGAGTACCAGCGCCGCAACACCTTTGGCACAGTGGCCTTCTGCTGGTGAGCCTGTGTGCGGCAAGCGTGCATTCATCAAACCAGCACTGCCTGCCCTGCTCCAGCGCCTGCCCTGCCACCTGCCCGCCCCTCCCTCAACCCCCTTCCCTCCTGCCTTGCAGCTACGGCGCCTTTTGGATGTCGCTGGCCATCTACCAGACCCTGGTTGCCGCCCAAGTGTTTGCCCCCGTCCCCGTGGAGGGCGACCGCCTGATGCTGACGCTGTGGGGCATCCTGGTGAGGCGCCTGCCCATCCCATGCTCCCTGGCTGTCGCCGGCTTCCCAGGCCGCCCGCAAGCATGCATCATGCTCGAGCTGACTTGCCTGCCCCCCCAATCCCTGCAGACCTTTCTGCTCTGGCTGTGCACCTTCCACACCAACCTGGTCACCAGCTGGCTCTTCCTCTCCCTGGCCCTGCTCTTCTGGTTCCTGGCCGGCGGCGTGGGCTCCGGCGACGAGCGCACCACCCTGACCAAGTTTGCGGGCGGCTGGGGCTTCATGGTGGCCGCCGTGGCATTCTACGACGGCACCGCGGCGCTGATGAAGGATGTGTACGGCAAGCAGATCCTGCCCGTCTTCCCGCTCAAGCCCGTCAACAAGGTCAGCCTGGGCGACTTTGGCACCAAGCGCTTTGTGGACCCCGAGGTGGGGGAGGCCGCCAAGGCGTGAGCGAGCACCCACTTTCCTGGCGGCTTTTTGCCCCAAGCCACTGCGCCGCTGTCCCGTCCTGTTTACTACCACCAAGCGGGCAGCAGCCCACCATGAACTCAACCCCCTGACCCTACCCCTGTCTTCCTTCCACCCATTGCCCACCTGTTCTGCTCCCTTTCACGCCCCCCTCGACATTTTTTGGCGGCACGCGCTCCTGTCTCCCAGCTTTCATTGCATGCTCAGTACCAAGCCCGCCCACTCTCATGCCGCCTGTTGCTGCGGGCCTCTGTACGGATAACTAAAAACTACCCTTACCATGAGCTTACTGTGAGAGAGAGATTACCACGAGAAGAGCAGGGCAAAGAGGAGCAGAGAGAGGAGCGCTGGTGAGCGCGAGGCAGGCGAGTCAAAAGGAGGAGAGAGAGAAAAGCACCACCGCGCTTCCAAGGGCCAGCAACCCAACCGAGCAAGAGGGGCTGGCGGTTGGCGTGCCGCCTGGCTGGTGCTGTTGTGCCGTGCAATGGCTACCGCCGCATCTGTGGGTTGAGCGGTACCATCTTGTACACGTGTCCCGCCAGCTCAGTCAGCCAGCCTGACTCAATGGCCAGCACATCCCGCATCTCATACCTGCACCAGCCCAGCCCCCCCAGCCAGGCCACGGCGAGTTGAGACAAAAGCTGGCCGGGCGCCAGGCAGGGCCAGGCAGGGCAACGGGTGCACGCAGCAGCACCGTGTGCCGGCAGCACGCGACAAGGGCT